AAAATGTGATAGCTTAAAAGGAATATTATAGAAACGAGTGTTGTAATAGCATGTAAATAATTAGGGATTCTCATTAGATCACTTTAGTGTAACATTATTTGGTTTCCTGAACTCTTGTTGTGTATGTTTGTATTAGTCAATTAGAAGGAGAATGTGACAGTTAGCCCAAGGGTTTTGTAGTTGTGTGTCTTATTTTCAGTTTGTCAGTTGATCCAAAGTATTAATCACCATATCAGCTGAATCTAAAGAGAACAACACTGCATCTGAAGTCTAATGGTGGGATAAAAGTTCGTTTTTCAAAACAAATAATATATGCTTTTCCGCGATTTTTGGAACGAAAGAGCCGATCTCTTTCTTTTAAATGTGTCTGTTGTCTCAGAAGAAATAGGTCCTTCCCTTGGTTTAATTTGTTTTCCTTTTTTTTTCTTCAAGTTGATAACTTCATTGACATTTGTGATTAACTGGGTTTTAAAGATGCTGACATTTAGAGTTGGTCCTCCTTTGCAGCCTCTGTAACAAAACACTGCTTACAATTCTTTTCACCTATTTTTCTATGCAAGTGTCTGGTGCTTAACTGTTGTACTTAGTATATATTAAATTTCTGTGTCAATCTAAAACTTATTTAAAGAGCTAGAATAAAGATACAGTACTTACCTCTTTGATTATCTGAAAACAAGAGTACATTTGGAAATAAATCATAGCAATGTGGGATATTTATTCCTAATTTTTTTATAACTACTTGAAGAATTTATGTTGTTCTGCAGAAGATATTTATTGTCTGTGTGCCATATTTGAAGTGTATTCTTATGCTGGAAAAATAGAGAACCTTTATTGTAGTATAAAACACTTGCTCATGGTGAGAGACTTCTCCAGGGTCAAGCTGTTCAGGTATAAGCAATTTATTATAAGGGTAAAGAGAGGGAGAGACCCATGTCCGCCACCAGCCTCGGCGTACACGTGGTCAGGGAGGGAGAGAGAGTGGAGCAGGGAGAGCAGGAGAAGCGAGGTTAGAGGGGGAGGAAGGAATCAAGAGAGCATGAGGGAGAGCGGGGAGAACAAAAGAGGCTTAGGAGAGAGGGGGAACAAGAGTAGAGTAAGAGGGAACACAAGGGAGTTAAGGGAGTGAGGAGAGTAAGAGAGAGAGAGGGGAGAGAAAGGGGAGAAAAGAGTATGGGGAGAAAATGAGAGTTAAGAGGGTGGGAAGAGTAAGAGAGCGAAGTTCCTGTTACAATATAATCTATGTCTTTCTCTAGTGAATATTCTAATTCCCAGTAACCAATCAGATGAGATGCACACACTAAATAATTTACATATAGCCTGTAGGAACTACTATATTACCATACAGTGTTACATTTCAAACTCTTAAAGCTTTACAAATTCTTCTCTTGCTGCTTGACCTTTGGATTCTCTGTCTGCAGAAGGACATTGTTTCTTCAATCAGGGATTCTTCTTTAGCTGGCAAGGCTATTGTTCTTTAGATATTTATTAACTAGCACTCAGTATCCCATGTCTCAAAGCTAGCTCTCATTTCTACTTCAATTCTAGGCTTCGTATTTTCAGAATCTTTTGCTAAACAATCATATTCATAAGGTTTCCCTGTTTCATCCTCCCCAACAAACCCCTTTAATTTTTATTCTTGCTGTATATGACAATGATTTCAGTAGGAGAGGTGGATGGTAGTCCCCAGGAAGTCTGGCAGAGGGGTCCCTCTGGGATGGATGGGCCCCCATCCCTTACATGGTAGCCGTAAGAAAGTTAGAAGTTAGGGAGATCATGGGAATTTTCAGTATACTTCTTCATAGCCACTAAGTTTTGAATTGGTTGGTTTTGATTACCATGTCACTGAAAAATCTTTGTAGCTGTACATGTAATGATACAGTATTTGCCAGGGTATGTTTTGTTGCACTGTATTTGGAACAGTGACCACACTGTGTTAGGCAGAGTGACAACAGACTGTCTAGCCTTAATTGCAAAAGATTTTTATCTTCGAGATCTTCTTTTATGGACAGTTCTGAGAAGGTCCGAAAAGGTAAAGCTTGCATTGGTCATCAAACCAATACATCACCATCATTGGACAGTTAGGAACAGCACCCCTTGACCATTTCTTGCGAGTAAACAACAAGGAGACAAACAACACCTACAAAGGTTGTTCTCCTTCTCTAAGGACTGTTAGGATTCCTCTTATGATTTCCAGGGCCAGAGTGAGAAAGCTGTGTACTTGACTTGACTAGCTCAAGCTAGTGCCTGAAGCCTAAAAATCTCTTATTTGACCACTGTCGGTTCCCACAAAGTTTCTTACAGATCCTTAAAAGTAGTTCTTCAATTCCCCTTCTGTTGATGTTTTCTCTAAAAAAACATTAGAAAGATACTAAGGAAGATATTATCTTCTTAATGAAGAATTATATGCTGAATTAGTACAATAATTGTGTCAGTAATTTGATGAGGTGGCAAAGTGTCTAGAGCTAAACTGGTGGTAATTGATGCAAACAAAAATGGATTTTCCTGATCTATAGCTTTTACAGAGGAAAGCAAATCTGGAATGAAAATATTTTTCAGCTGCTACTGTTTTGAGCTTGTCAAGTTATGCTAGCTGTTCTTCCAAGTACAGTTAATTTTTTTTTCTGGGCAGCTGATTTGCGCCCTGCATTTTTTTTTTTCTATCTTGCTCTATTCACATGTATGCAAATAATATTTTTTTAAGTGGCATGTTTTCTGAATCATGTAAATATTTTCTCTCTGGAGATATGAGGGACAACTGCATTTTAGCTCCCTTGTTGTGAGGGAAGCCAAAAAGAGAAATCAAACACACATGCATACACATTTACACACTGAAATCAATACATATGCTTGAGGAATACAAGAGAGACCCCTGAAGAAATAACCTTTCTGCAACAATGCTTTTCTGTGGCTGGCTACATCCAAAAGAAATACAGAATAAACATACCCAGTGAGAGATGAACTGAAGCTGTGATGCAGTAGGACTGAAGAAAATTAGCTATTTGAAAAGAGCACAGCTTTAGAGAAAACTAACCATATCATCACAAGGGCATAGGAGATAGGAAGAGTCTTCTTCTTGTGTAATCTTTGGACTGCTTTGTGTTACTACACTTACATATGCTAGCCTTGCTAAACATTGGAGTTTATTAAATTCCTGAGAATGAATGCATTTTATTTTAGGGAAGAGACACTTATACTACTGCTTTACATTAAGAAATCTTAGTGCTTCCATTAATTTAATGTAGAATTACTTCACATGATTCAGAATGAAGATGTAAACTATCTGGTGTAAAAAGCTGGCTTGTATTTAACATTGTATTTCAGTGAGAGGGCATAGGTGCATCATTTGGTAAAAAGTGCACTTGCTTAGTATAACTGCTTAAAGGAGCATGCAAAGGCTTTTAAATGGCTGATGTATTGACCTTAGAGGAGCAGTAGTGCTTGCTGTGTCTATCCACCTCAAAATCTAACACTGGAGAAGCACATGTATTTAAAGTTCAAAGGCCATCTTCAATTACAAGTATGGAGCTGGAAATGTCAGTTCTTGATTGTTTGATTAGATTCTGGAGAATAAATGAGAAATCTGTAGAGAGTCATACCTACAAGTCTTATTTCCAGATAGGTAGATTAGTTACCACACCTATTCACCAATCTACACACTTAATTATCAGTAGTACTTACAGCTTCTCAAAGCTGGGCATTTATCAAGTACAAGCCTGTACTTGATAAAAATGTATGGCAGGTAACATGGTTGTTTATAGAATTGAATGGCTGGATCACAAGGGAAATACAAATCACAGATGCTGAGGTGGCAAAGGAGGAGTAGGAATGTTTTAAGGGAGTGGAGACCAGACATGACGACAGTGGAACAGGGGGAAGAGAATAAGATTATTTTTGTATAACCAGGCAGGAAAAATAGGATAATAATTAATGTAGTTGGAAGATGAAAGCAGAATTGTGCTCAAGTTGTTTCAAAGAGACAAAAATTAACTGGAGTCTACTTAAACCTAAACTACCTGAAACTAACATCCTGTGTCCAGTACAGTTGGGATTAATGCCAAACAGCACAGCTGAAATAATTTTACAGGTATGGAGGATTTTCTCTAGTGAATTGATAAAGACCAGACATCCATACTAGTTCTTCATTAGATAATGCTGATTTTTTTTGTCTGGGAAAGGTATCCAGCATTGAGAATGCTTCAGCAAAGGAGCATTAAATCCCCTCAGAGAAGACTCAAAACTTGCACCGAATAACAAAGTATGTTTCCCTCTTACACAGACTGGTTGTATTTTCACTGTTCACTGCATTAACCTTCCCTAGAAGACTGGATCAGATTGAAGTTTCTACCCATTAGGCTTGAGGTGTTCATTACTCTGGGTTCACAGCATCAATAGATAAAGCTCTGGTATTAACAACTGTGACTGACAGCTGCTCTCTGCCCAGTGTTACTTGCTTTAGTAATTGCAAAAGAGAGAAACTGAGCTCTAACAGGCTGGTTTGAGACAGCTAGATACCTCCTTCAGTAATTAAAACTCTGTAATCCAATGAGAAGAGTATACCCCTTTGATATATACATATATTTTTTTTTTTTTTTTTCCCCCAGGAGCATAACTGTATATGAAAGAAAATGTTCTCCCAAACTTGTAGAGTTTCAACTAATAAACTTACATAATGTGGGGACATTGCTTAATGAATTTCTACTGGGTCTCATTTTGTAGTGTTGTTACTCACATTTTTGACATATTTTGGGAAAAGCATTGCTTGATAACAGAAAAAGTATGTATATAACGTACAGAATGTTCTGTGATTTTTGAGTGTAGAATGAATGTTACAGATGAAGCAAGAATTTTCTGTTACACCTTTTCAAATAGTTTTATTGCATTCAGTAAAACAGTATTGTTGAAATATTTCTAAATGCTTTGTAATTTGGTATAAACATTAATACATATACCAACTTACAAGCATATATATAAAAACTAAAATGTATATGTTTGTCTTGCAGGGGTCAGTAAGCTGATCCATCATTTACACAAACACAAGATACCCGTAGCTGTTGCCAGCAGCTCAAGCGAAGAGTCATTTCAGAGAAAAATAACCAGACACAAAGATTTTTTTGGTCTTTTTCATCATATTGTGTTGGGAGATGACCCTGAATTGAAGCGTGGCAAGCCACATCCTGATCCATTTTTACTCTGTGCAGAGAGATTTCACCCTCCTGTACCACCAGAGAAGGTAAGAGGGGGAGGATAGAAATTAAATTTAGGAATTTTCTGTTTGGGCTGTATTTAGATGATTTTTTTTTTTTTAAGGTGATAAAGACTTAGATTCATATAAACATTATAAAAATTAGCAACCTCCATTTTCAAAGATGTTTGTGGTGTTGAAGAGAAAGATTTCCCCCCACTACATCTAGAGTTTATTATGCAGACTGCTCTGATTTGCTACATGGCAGCATGCAGTAATAGGAAAGTGTAATGATTTTCTGCTGTATACATAAATCTGCAAGCTTAACTTCACTATTCAGAATTTGGAAACAATTATTTAAGCATAGGTGAGTTTATTTTTCATACATTCATGCCTGATTTAGCTCTTAAGTGTCAAAACATTAAATATAGTTCTTTGTGAAGAGGACAAATATTTTTCCAAAGCTACATCTTTCCACGAGGAGTCTAAATCTCTGAGATCATAGTTCTCATTTCCGATTCAAACCTATCAGTTTGAGCAATCTTTCTCAAACAGTACATGTGTTTAGTTTTCTTGTCTTTATATAACTTTACAAACTATTCTGAAATAGAAATCTGTAGGGAGAGTATTTCACATAAACTGAGAGTTAGTTAAAATAGTGTCTTCATTTTGATTTTAAATTAAATTGCCTTTTTCCTTAGAATATTTTTCTCACTTCTTCTTTGTCCCAAGTGGAACATAAGTTCTGAAGTTTTGGAGTTAGTTTCATTACTGCAGAAAAATGCATTGCATCCTAATTTTAAGGAAAAAAATTAGGTAGATTAGACTGTAATTACAGTTCTCTCAATAGAATTATTGGGAAGAAAAGTCTACACAAATACATATGGAATGATTAGCTAAGATTCCTCACCTTTCATACTCTGAGTTCTCACCCAGAGACTAAATGGTATTTTCATTGCCTGGGAATACAGAATGAAGTTTGATACACTGTGGTTTATTGTTGAACAGAGTTAACCAAACTTGGTTTCAGTTTTGGTTTGGTTTGGCTTTTCTTCTGTAACAATTTCTCTTGATATTCTGTATGGATGAATCTACTTCATTTGTAAGATTGCATGTTCAGAAACAAATGTACAGAACCAAGGAAATGGAATGTCAGCTGTGTTAATGGCAAATTAAAATATAATTTCATGGGAGGAGCAGAAGGACAGCTTTCCCAAAACTCTTAGTTTATGTGGTTCTACTTCATAAAACCCACAAGGTGGTAATACTTAAAAAGAACAAAAACATTAAAAAACAACCCAAAAGAAAGCAATAAAACCAGTGAACCAGTGACACTGTATAGATACTTGTATCCTTTAGTTGTGTTAGCATTGAAAAAATATATGAAGAAATAGTAGCATCTGTATTACATTTAATATTTTAAACTTTAAAGGTGTATTAGACAATCAGTCACAGATTGTTAATTGTAGTTTTGTACTTTTAATTTTGTTAACTTTTCTTTGAAGAAGGGCATACATGTTTAGATACATATTTTTCCTTTGTAAAAAGTTTACAGCATCAAATTCCCTTAGTGCGGATAATTCAGCTGAACTTTTTTTCTTTTTTGTTTCATCTACAAAAGTCACAAATGTTAAAGTGTGGGAAATTCACACATGCAGAGAATTCTCAAGAGGAAAGAAATCAAAACAGTACATGTGAAACTGTCCAAAACATTTGTAACCAGTTGCAGTGTAATGGTGTCATCTGCAGTGTTTTGTCCAAGCAGCGAAATAATAGAGCTACAGGTTTGAATTTCATGTCAGCAATCATTAGTATGCAATATTGCAGCCAAGGATCAAGAGGTAATGTCCACATAAACAAATAATTGGACTCAAGCAAAGCGGGCTGTTAGCACATCATCATAGGCAGTGCTTAGTCCTATACATCTATGCTATATATTATTTGAATGTTTTCTATTGGATTAGATTTACTGTGATCCCAGGCTGAGATAAGGTTCTTTGGAGCTTATTAAACATTGGATGTTGCTTGATGAGTCTCTGCAGAGAACTTCCACTGGAGCTGCCCTCTAGAGCAACCTAGTACATACCAGAACTACCCAGTGAAACAAACTATCAAGAAGAAAGTGAGAATTTTCAAGTTTGCTTCAAAACTTTGTTGCTGCTGTTAGCAAAAATGCAGTGTAGGCCTAGAAAACCAAATCCAGAATTTAGCTGTAGTGTCATACCAGCCAATGGCTATTGCTGTGCAGGCATACTTCTGCAAGTAGACCGGTATTTTAGTGATATATGAATGGGTATGATATCTGCTTTACTGTCATTGAAAGATGCCATAAATATCCATTGTGAAATTTCTTAGATCTTGACTTTTTGATTTGCAGTCTTTGATTAACTAGGAACTTAATAAGCATAATGATAAAATGATAGCACAGGAATTTCCAAAAAGATGCAACCTGCAAATTCAGCTTAGGTCTCCTATCCTGTGCTGTGTGAAGCATCATATGAACTTCCAACAGTAGTAACAATGCACAGTCATGTGATTAATTAAGTAAATCAGTCAGGTAATCAAAATATGATCTGGAAATTAAATACTAGAAATTCTGTATTTTAATGAAATCTATTTTTTAAAAAATATATTTCAAATTCTTCTCTCAAATGCACAGCTGCAACTTGTATGAAAGCCATCTGGAGCTGTACATCTGTAGAAACAATGTGTTCTTGAATATTATAGAAATTTCAGGCACAGTGTTCAAAACACTCTGTTCTTTTTCATACATTTTATTTGGATGATTGAAAAACACTTTTCATACTATTATTTTGCTTTGAATTCTGGTCAGGGAATACTTAAACAAATAGTACATTAATAAATCCAGGGACGCTAATGAGATGCACTCTGAGTGCTAAGAAATCTGGAAGATATTGAAAGACCACTTTCCATAACCTTTGATCTATCATGGTCACTGGGAGAAGTGCTCAAGAGCTGGAGATGGCAGATGTCACTCCTGTGACAGAAGGATAACCCAGGGAACTTCAGGCTTCTCAGCCTCATCTCAATCCCTGGCAAAAGATGATGGAGCAACTATCCTGAAAATCATTTCCAGCCACAGTAAGGAGAAGCATACCATCAGGAATAGTCAGTATGGCTACACCAAGGGAAAGTCATGCTTGACAAACCTGATTAACTTCTTTGATTAAGTGACTGTCCTGGTGGACATGGTGAGATCAGTGGCTGTTGTATACCTGAAATACAGTAGTGCCTTTGACACTCTCACCCATATGATGTGGGTGAGCAGACAAATGCAGTTCAAAATGTAGTTTGAAAACTGGCTGAGTGGCCAGGCCCAGATGATTGTGATCAGGGGTACAAGTCTAGCTGGGTGATAGTGATTAGTGGTGTGTTTTTGGGGGTGAATACTGGATATAGGCCTGTTTAACATCTTTAGTGGTGTGGAGGAATTAAGAGAATTCTCAATAGGATCTTACTAATGCCTATGAATAACTGAAGACAGACTGTAATGAAGGAGACAAACTTTTTTCAGCAGTGCCCGGTGACAGAACCAGAGGCAGTGGACACAGACATGCACAGGAGACTGTCTGAGCACAAGGAAACACTTTCTTTTTTCACTGTAAGGATGGCCAAGCACTTCCAAAATTGCCTAGGAGGTTGTGGAGGTACTCAAAATTTTTCTTGACACAGTCCTGTGCAACAGAGGAGGTTGGACCAGATGAGCTCTGGAGGTCCCTTCCAATCTCACTCATCCTGTGATTCAGTGATTAACTTCACAGATTTGATCTGTGAAAAAAGAACCAAAAAAAAGTATGTTTGCTGAACAGTATTTTTCTGTTCCACTTTAATTTATAGGGCTCACATTACTTAAAATCATGCTTTTAGAATTTAAAATACTAGAATATTCATTTTTTATTTGAAAGAGTTTATAGTAACCAGGCAATTTGTATGTATTTTTATGATTTATACATTTATGTAGTTATATATCAAGTGTAACTTTTCAGTGCTATCTTGGAGAAGTTTTGCTTCATAATAACAAAAATCGTATGCAAGTAAATTTATTTTAAATATGTCTCTGAATTAGAGGATTTCTGTCGTCCGCATGCCAACATTTATACATATTCCAAATACACTTTTGTCATCAAAACCACACTGATTAATTAACTTCCTGCTTAAGGGTGTTGAAGGCTAAAGCATTTCCAGTATTTTGGTTGATTTGCCTATAGCTTTTCTGTAAAATAAAGAACCTTAGTAGTAGTTTGAAAGCAAATAAACCCATTTATATTCACTTTTTAAGCAGAGGGATAGATTGTAGTAATACAAATGGTCATAACTTCTTATGAAGAATCAATCTGTTCTATTTTAAAAGTTCCAAGTGATGTAAATCATTGCCTTAATTTAAAACACTATTTTTTTGCAGTTTTTTCCATTTCTAATTAATTAATTGATCCCATAGTTACAAATAATCTCTGTACCAAATCTAGAGAGAGCTCATTAAAATTTTTTCAGACTGATTAAATGGCATTAGGATTTATGAGTCTCAGTGGACATTTTGACATAGAACAGAGAAGTTCAAAGAAATTTTCTGTGACTTTTTTGCTCTAGAAGATATAAGGAAAGAACAGTAGATTCAGAACTTCATGACATCCAAGTATTTTGTAATTTTATTCTATATTGTACAAATAAAACAGGATAAGTAAGGCTGATTTAGCACTTAATGTGACCACTGTTATTGTAAGCTTTTGTAAAAAAGGATGCTAAAACCATTTTTTGTATCATCCCCTTAATTTTTTAACTTTTTCTACTTTTTTTCCCCGACTTCTCCATTTTTAGTGTATGCATGAAGTGTGCATATTTTACTCACTATGGTGTTCAGATAAGCAAGTATTTAATTAGTGATGTTGCTGTTATTCATTGTGTATACCTGGAGGTTGAATACATTAGGAGTACTTTATTTCAAGTACAGAAATTACAGACATGAACAGCCATTTTAGCTGGTGCACTGAGCTGTAAATTGGAATCCCTGCTGTTCAAATCAAATGTTT